AGCATCCTGAGGCCAGGGGATGCTGGCTGCCCTGCTCCAGGACCCTTCTCACGGGCTTGGCAGCCAGAGAGCAGAGCTGTGGGCCAGGGTCTCCCTGCACCTCAAGCACCGCCTGTCCCTGGTTTCTGCCCCACACACTGGAGGCATTCCCTCACCTCCTCTGCTCTCTGTGTGACCTCCCACTCACCAGGGCATCTGGAAACACTTCTGCTATGGCAGCAAAAAGTGGGAGCAGGAGTAGAACTGGGAGAAGGGCAGTGTGGAGGGAGAGGCTGGATGCGAGTGGGAGATGGAGAGGAGCAGAGGTGAGAGAGAAGACTTCTGCTTGGAGAACAGGGCTCAGTGCAAGCTCTGCTTCCCGTTTTGCTGATGTTGAGTGTGATCCTGCTCCTCCCTGCCTGAGTTGCTAGGATGCAGGGAAGGTGTCCCACACTATCGTGTGCACCGCTCTGCATGGGAAGGAGCCACCCAGGGAGCTGTCTGACATGGAAGGCTCTCTGTGCCTCGGGTGCTGGCGTGGAGGTGCTCCTGTCACCCCTTGTGCTGAGCTCCCCTAGCCCAGCCCGCTGGGGTGGCAAGTGCTGCCCTGGGCCTTTGGACTGGCATGAGGGAGCTCTGTCCATTGCACTGTGTGAAGAGGGAATTGCTGCCCTGTGTCTGAGTGTTTTGGAGCATGGTACCACATCAGGGACCAGAGGGACATTGCTCCATCCTCTGCGTCCTCTCACAGCTGCTTTGTGTCTCGTGCTTGTGGGACAGGGGAGCAGCCCCCCTGTATCGCTGCTTGTGCTGTGAGTGTGCTGCCCCACCCTGTGCGGGGGCACCTCTGGTAGGGGTGAGGGATGGGGCCAGCCTGCTACCCTGCAGCTCCCTGTGGGGACACACTGCCCTGGGGTCACCTGCCGCACCCCAGGGAGAAGCAGGGTGTCCATTGGAAAGGAGGTGGGAAGTGCTACTTCCCTGGCTCCATGTCAGGGTCCCCACAGGATGCATGTCTCTGTTTCCTCGTTTCTTGCCAGAGGACATGCCTCCTTCCCCAGCTGGTGTACTGGCAGGAGGGGCTGCTGGCTGCCTGCCCATCACAGCAGCCTGGGGAAGGATGACTCCCCAGGCTGGTCACCTGGCTGTGGTCCCTACCAGAGCGGGCTCAGCTCAGCTGCCAGTGGGGTCTGGGTGCCGCATGGCCCTGCCATTCCAGCTGCTCTGCCGTGCCCTCCCAAATTCTGCTCCCATTTGGAGCCCTGGTTGCTGGGCGGCGTTGGAGGGGGGTCGTGGGGTTAACACCCATTAGCAGAGCCGGCTCCCACCGAACTCTGCTCAGCGACTCTTCATGGAGCTCAGTCTTTAAAACATCATCAAAAAATCATCAAGAGAGTGAGGCAGCACGTTCATTTCCACTGCCCACTAATTCTAATGGAGCTGGTGTAATGGGCTCCCACCAGCACGCCGGGGGGGATGGGCTCTGCTGTGTGGCCCCAGAATAGCCCCTCATCCCAAGGCAGCTAGGAAGGTCTCCTGTAGGAGTGGCTTCCTCTGGGACCTGAGCCCTGTTGAGTCGGAACTCTAGGGCTCCTCTGGGCTCTGGGAAGGAGCCTGTGGCCACACGTCAGGCAGGAAAGGGAGTTCTGCCAGCTCTACTTCAGCAGAGGTAGTCCAGACCCTTCTGCCCACATCATCTGTTTTCTGGTGCTGTGCTTTCATCCAGCCAGAAATGCCCCTGGCACATTGAAACCTGTACCTCTCCCCAGAAAAAGATGAGAATGCCTTGTACTTTCCCTAAAGAAATGACTTGAGTCTGATTCAACTTGTATGAATCCCTTGGGGAGCTCAGGACCTGGTCCCAGACTGTCCCAGAAGCTGGGTCTGCACAGTGTTCAAAGCTGCTCCGAGTCCTTGGTTCCCTTCCCAGCTCTGCCGAACCCCACGTGTGAATCCAGGGGTGTGATCCCACAGTGCCCTGCTCTCCTGCTGCAGCCACCTTGTGCTCGGGCTCCAAAGAGGTGCCATTCCTGTTGCTGCAGGGAGGGGAGGTGGGGAGTTTCCCTTAGTGTGCCTTAGGTGTGGTCCTTTGTTAGCTCCTCCCGGGCTCTGAGAGCAACAGGCTCTTTGTTCAGCATGAAGCTGGAGGCACAAAGGAGGAGAAGAACGGAGGTCCCCCAGCTTGTGGAGCCTGTGCAGGGGCTTTGGTCAAACTGAGACTGCTGCCAGGGCTGGGACCGGGCAGCCCCAGGGCTCCAGGATGTCCCTAAGCTGTGACAATGCAAAAGTCCATCCCAGTGGGGTTGGAGCCCCAGAAATTTCCATCTCCCAGCAGGAGGGACCTGCCTGCCTGCCTGCTGTAAATGTCCTGAGCAGAGGGTTGAGAGCCCCCCACCCCAGCACAGTGCCTGGGGCGGGCAGGGTGGGCATTTGCTTCCACTGGGAAGCTTACAGGCCCAGGAAGGCTGGGCTGGGATTCCTGCCTGCATGTTTGGTAGGGAGGTACTGGGCAAACGAGACAGGAACAAGGAGGATGGAGCCTTGTGAGCCCGTGGCAGGAGTCCTTGCTGTGTCCCAGGGACCATGACTTGCCTCCTGCTGTTCAGTGACAGAAAAGCCACTCAGCAGCAGGGAGGGCTTGAGGTGCATCCAGTGCTTCCTGGGTCCAGGCAGCTGGCTTGGGCTCTGCAGCACAGTGAGGCAGCCACAGGTGGCTCGGACCGAGGAAGGGAGAGATTTGAGGACAGGGCCTGTTCTGATGCATCAGGGTGCCCCAGGAGTGTTCTCTGCAGACGCTCCCTCCAGCATGAGGGCAGTCTCAGGGAACTGCTGCTCTGTCCTGACTGGTAGTGCTTGGCCCAGGCAGTCACTGGCCCTGCAGCTGTGGGGGCTGGTCCTGGCTCCCCTGCAGCCTGGGAGCTTCCTGCCCGGTTCTGGGTCTGGTGCCAGTGAGCCAAGGAGGCAATGCCTGTTAGCCTGGCTGTTGTCTGGTTATTTCTACTCCCAGTATTCACAAGTTACCAGCTGTATATTTTCCAAGAATCTTGTTCTTGAGCTGGGATTTGGTGTCCTTGAAGCCTCCACAGCAAACACCCTTAGGGAGGAGGCACATGGCCTATAGGGAGCACCCCAGAGCGGAGACTGTGGGGTGTCTCCTGTGGCTGAGAGCTGGAGGAAAGGGCAAAGTGCTGGACAAGTGGGATGTCCCCATTAGTCTGGAGCATCACAAGAGAGGGGAGAGTCCTGACTGCCTGCTCCCCTCAGTCTGCCAGCCTCCTGAGGGCCCAGAGTCATTCCAGCAGGAGAGAGGCAGGTGCTGACCTCTTTCCCCAGAGGAAGAGTCCCAGGCTGATTTAGGGTGAAATGAATGAAACAGCCTCCCCTTCCTATCTGGGAAGGGCGAACCAGGAGAGCCCTACATGCTGGAGTCATTCCATCCTCCCCAGGCTCGTCTGGTTTGCAGACCCAGCCTTGCATTCCTACACCAGTGCACAAGCATTGTTGGTCTCCAAGCTGGGGGCTGCTGCTGGAATCCTTGCAGGACACATCGTGGAGCTCTCAGCACTGGTAAAGGGCAGCACCATTCCAGCCTGATGTCACACTTTTAACCACAGAATGCAGGATCCCAAGGCACTCTGCACCTCGGCACAGGTGCAGGAGGGCAGTTTATCCTCAGATTGGTGTGGGATGAACACCTCTGCATGATGGAGAGAGAGAGAGTTGGATGCTGTGCCTGGTACTTGTCAATGCAAGTGGTGCCTATGAGGAAGGGCTGTGCTCTCCCACCACTCCCACTGGAGCTGGCCTTCCTAAGGAGACTTCCCAAGGCCGCACCATCTTCTGAGGGTATTTGTGGGCACAGCCTGGCTTAGCTGGGGCCAGATGGCCCAGCAACAGCTGAGGGTGGCCATGCCCTTGCTGGGACCCGGCCGGAGGCCTGTGCAGCCATTCACAGCCCTGATGGGTGCTGTGGCACCTCCTCAGTCCCTGTCTTCCTGCTGCTTCCCTCCACTGTGAGGGGCTTCTTCACCACAGAGAAGTCGAGCAGAAGAGGGGACCCCCTCCAGACTCCCCTGCTTGCCCCTCCACGTCAGCCCCAATGGGCACAGACCCTGCCAGGCTTGAGGCCAGTGCCGCTCTGCCTCACTGTGGACTGAGGGCCCCTCGGCCTCTGTGCTGTCTCTGGAGCTGAGCAGTTGACTCCCTGCTTTTAATAGAGAGCTGGGAAGGCACATTATGGAGATGAGGGTGTTATTTGCATAACGCTAATTAGGTAATTACAAATCATTTTGCTATGAGCTGAAGCGTGTGCTGTGACATAACGTTTATTAGTCATTCCATTCAGGCCCCGCTTAGTTAAGTCATTTACTGCACTAACTACTGAAGTTGGCAATAAAAGGTAAATGCTGGCTCTGGGTACGAGGCTGAGGCAGGGCACCCCATGAACTGTGCCCGGGGGGGCTGCAGGGCAGAGCCTGGGTTGGCAGGTGTTGGGGGGGTAGAACATTGTAAGGCTTGGTGAAGGGCTCCCTCTGAGCCCATGGTGTGGGACCTCCTTGCATTGCCTCACTCGGTGTGCAGGGCCTGTCCCTCCAAAGCCACTCGTGGGCGGGTGCCGAGTGCTGGTGCTGGGGCAGTTTTTGGGCACCAGCTCTCAGAAGAGCTGACTTCACTACTCCAGAGACTGGCAGCTTTCTCCGAGGGTGGGACACAGGGCAAAGAGAGTGGGAACAAGCAGCTTCCAGGGGGCTGGAAGCCTCCTAGGTTTCCCAGACCAGATGGCGGGGGAAAGAGGCCGCAGAAGGGCGAGCCGAGGCCAGTGGAGCTGTGTGGGCAGCGGGAGGGAGGGCTGGCACAGAGCTCAGGTTCCTCCCTGCCGTCCCGTGCCTGTCCCAGCCCCCTGGGCTCCACTGCTGTCAGTGACCCTGCCATGTGCAGGCACAGTCATGGCCCATGATGACTGTCCAACGGCAGAGCCTCTCCTTCCCAGCCCTGTGTCATGGCACACCTTTCTCTTCCAGAACCAGATGAGCCATTTGAGTTCATTATCGTGTCGCTGACGGGCCAGACATGGCTTTTTGAGGCCTCAACGTCGGAAGAGCGGGAGCTCTGGGTGCAGGCCATCGAGAGCCAGATCCTGGCCAGCCTGCAGGGCTGCGAGAGCAGCAAGAACAAGGTAAGAGGCCTTGGCCAAGGTCTCACCTCTCTGGCTTCTGCCACATCCCTCCATGTCCCATGTTACCCTGTCTGTCCAGGCTGGATCCTGTCTAGATCCCTCTGCTCCCCATCAGTTGAATCCCATCACTGGGATTCCTCCCAGGTTTTCTGTCACCTCTTCCAGCCTGGCTCTGGCCCCAGGGAACATTCTGCATCCCACCAGGCTGGATCCCCGCTGTCCACTCCCTCCCTGGACAGCTCTGCCCTTTCTCCTTGCTGTGGCACGTGTCCCCTGCTCCTCTGGCACACAGCTGGCCACGATCCGTGGTCCCTCCAGACCCAGTTGTCTGAGCCCCTGTGCTGGACAACCTCCTGGGTTCCCCCGGAGCGTGGTGCCGGAGGGCGTGAGGGGTGCGGGACGTGTGGCCTGCAGCGAAGGGGGTCTCGTGGGGTCTGTTCCAGGCTCGGCTGGGCAGCCAGGGCGACGCTCAGGCCATGCAGGCCGTCCGCACCGCGCGCGGGAACAGCTTCTGCGTGGACTGCGACGCTCCGAGTAAGAGACACTGCACTGAGGGAGGGGCTCGGCCAGGACGGGAGGGGGCTCCAGCCACCCCTTCTCTCAGCCCAGAGAGACCTGCTCCGTGGGACTGTCCTGTCCTTTCCTGTTGTGGACCTGCCCCTCAGGGGTGGGGTACAGACCCACTGGCCTGTGACCCCTTACTGGCCTCTCTCTGCCTAACTCTCCCAGGGGCACTGGGCTGGGAAGAGTTCTGGTGGGCAGGTGCCCGCAAATATGCGTCTTCTGAATCACAGGAGACAAGCTGGTGAGTCCGTGCAGGTATTAACTCTCCCCCACTGATCCTGCTGCCCTCAGATCCCGACTGGGCCAGTCTGAACCTGGGTGCCCTCATGTGCATCGAGTGCTCCGGGATCCATCGCAACCTGGGCACCCACCTGTCCCGCGTGCGATCCCTGGACCTGGACGACTGGCCTAGCGAGCTTCTCATGGTCATGACAGCCATCGGCAATGCCCTGGCCAACGCCGTCTGGGAGGGAATGGTGGAGGGGTACACCAAGCCCACTCCTGAGAGCAGTCGGTAAGGGCAGTGGGGAACCCCGCAGGTGCTTCTTGGGCACCACACCAGGAGGGTCGGGAGCACCACAGGGGTTTGGGAGCAGCTGTCAAGACAGGATTCCTCAAGGCGCTCTAGCGTTGGGGGTCCTGCCTGCCCTTGAGGTACCGGCCATCCTCTCCCACCTTTCTGGCTCCGCGGTGGCCACGGCCGTGTGGGGCCTGCAGGAGCTGAGGCTGGCTGCAAAGCCGAAGGGGTTAACAGAGATGGCTTGGCAGCACTGTGTGGGTCTCCAGGGTCTGTCCCTTTCAGGCCCTTGTCTGTCCCTATCGGAGCCGCCGTGCTGTCACTCATCCCAACAAGAGCCCATTCTGTGCCTTATCAGCGCTGGCGCGGGTCAGGGGGCGGCGGCAGTGAGCATGCTCGGCGGGGGGCATTGATGGCCGCCCGCCAGATGCAGATGGATAGAATGGCAGCAGATAGCGGCGGGACGGCACACATCGATCCGCCGGCCCCGCGGCCCCGGCGGGACGGACGCGGACACAGCCTTTGTTTGCGCCAGGCGAGACGGCGGCGGCGATAAGGTGCCTCCCGTGGCACTGGGCTGGCGTGTGCAGTGCTAACCTTTTCCTGCCGCTGGCCACGGCCCTCACGCAGGCACGGGACAGGGATGGTCCCCACGCTGCCACGGCGTGGGCACGCAGGACAGTGTGAGGGGCTCCAGCGTGGAGAGACAGGTGTGGGGTCTGGGTGTGGGACGCTGCTGCTGCACGAGCATGGACATAATCCCAAGGTGTCCATAGGGAGCTGTAAGGAAGTGCAGTGAGCCAAGCAGGTGTCAGGCACGTGTCTGGATTGGGGTTACAGAGCCCCAGTGACAGTTGTGGGCACCAGGACACAGCAAGGGGTATGTAGGACACACCTGGGTGTGACAGACACTCGCTGCTCACAAGGGTGTGTTTGGGTGACAGTGTTGGTACTCGTGTCCCTTCGCATGTGGGGCCCAGGCAGGTTGTCCCACCTGTGACAGTGACAGCATCCCATCTGGCAGGGAGGAGAAGGAGCGCTGGATCCGGGCTAAATATGAGCAGAAGCTCTTCCTGGCCCCACTGCCCCAGTCGGACATCCCTCTGGGGCAGCAGCTGCTGCGGGCCGTGGTGGAGGATGACCTGCGCCTCGTGGTGACGCTCCTGGCCCATGGCACCAAGGAGGAAGTGAATGAGACCTATGGGGATGGAGACGGGCGCACAGCGCTGCATCTCTCCTGTGCTATGGCCAATGTCGTCTTCACACAGCTGCTCATCTGGGTAAGATGGGACCTGCAGCCTCCACCATGACACTTCTGGTGCTATCCCAGTGCTTCCCCACCTCCCTGCTCCCAGGGTATGAGGCAGCTCTCGCCCATCTTGCTGCTGTGGGTTCCCTCACGTGCCCACTGACACTGCCCTGCCCACCCTCCCAGCTCCCTCTCCTTACCCATCCCAGAGCCCCTCTGCTCCGTGCCACTCCCGTGCCCAGGGGGACATGGCACCCAGGTGTCGCTGATCGGCTGCTTCTCTCCCTCACAGTACGGAGTGGACGTGAAGAGCCGGGATGCTCGGGGCCTGACCCCGCTGGCCTATGCCCGGCGAGCCGGCAGCCAGGAGTGCATCGACATCCTGCTGCAGCACGGCTGCCCCGGCGACAGCGCTGCCACGCTGACCCCCAGCCTGCCCCGCCGCAACGCCAACGCCAACAACAACGCTTGTGCCGCGGCACCGGCCGAGCTCGGCACCAGCCCCGGCGCGGTCTAACCCTGCGTGGGCTGTCCGCTCTCCCCACGGCCCCCCTCCAGCCCTGCTGGGGTCCAGGGCCGCAGAAGCGGGTCTGGGAGCACCACAACCGGGCATCCCACGGTGCTTGCCCCCATCGGGACTCCCGTTCTGGCCGAGAGGAGGCCGGGAGCCAGCTGGGAACCAGCATCCCGCTCCTCTGTGCCGGTTCCAGTGGACTTTCCCATGCAGCTATGGGACTGTGCAGACCCGGTGCTGTCAGCTTGCAGAGGGGTTCCTGTTTAGTCACTGGGGCCACTCCAGTGTTCCCTGTTCTCGTGACCGGTACATGGAGGGGGAGCTGGTTTCTCCTGCCCCCCCCAGACACACCTGGGGGCATTCAGGTGTGAGCCCCCCCCCTGCACAGTGGTACCAGGGAGGGCAATGGCTGCACCCACTGTCCCAGACAGGTCAGTATGGGCACCCCTCCTGCCCTCCCTCTGTGTCAACCTCGACACACACCCCCCTGCAGGGGGGAGGTGGGGGGCAGCAGGAGGTGCATGTTTCTTTGCTGCACCCCCATGCTCCTCTGCTTCTGGCTGGTGCAGGAGAGATGCACTCACCGGTACCGTGTGCTGATGCATGGGCGGCATCTCCCCCACGCAGCCCCTGGACAAAGACCTCCCCAGCCTTCCTGGTGACCTGGAGGGGGAAGAGGATGGTCACTCCGGGATCCCCAGCTGTGTCTGTCTGTCTGTAGAGTCACTGTCCTTCCAGGTTCCAGCCCCATAGCCATACACATCACCCATCAGAGCCTCCTGCTGGCTCCCGCTGCTGCCCAGGCGGGGCTGGTCTCCGGCTGAGCAAGAGGAGAGGAGAGGAGCATCTCTCTGAACTGGGGCCAAGCCTGCAGCTGAGTGTTGGAATCCCAAGGCTTTGGACGCTGCTGTGGAACGTCTCTGTCACTTGTGTATAAAATGTACATTGGAAATATTTATATGGACACTCTGTATATACGGTTTCTTTGCCATGAGTTGCCCTGTGTGTGTTATCTGCAGCCAAGGAGATAAAGACCAATAAAGCAACCCACCTCCTGCCAGGCCAGCGTCTCAGTGTACTGCCTTTGGGGCCTCTGGTGCAGCCCTGTAGAGTCCGGTGGCTCTCCAGCCCAGGCTGACCAACATTCAGCCCTTACTCTTGCAGCTTGGGCGCTGGTAACAGCAGCCCTGTGCACACCAGGCCCCTGGGACGTGGCAGAGTGCTGGGGTGGGGAGGGGAGATGTGCCAGCCCTGGGCGCTGAGGGACAATGCCAAGACATGGCCCCAGAGGGATGCACAGCTCTGGTGGGACTGGAGATGGGCACAGCAGAGGGGTGTGCCAGGCAGGACATGCTGGGGCCAGCTGGTCCCTGTGCACAGGACAGTTGAGTGTGAAGCTGGGGTGGGGAGAGGCAGAGATGGGCAGGGAGTGCTGGGCTGTGCCAGCGAGCAAGGAGCCTGGGTGCTTTGCTGTGGCTACACGAAACAAGGCACAAGCAGCCCCAGGCGCTGAAGGGAGCCGTGGGTCTGCACTACCACCAGCCCTGCCCCCACCTGCTTCTCCCAGCTGCGGGCAGAGCAAGGCCTCAGTGCTGCCCATTCCCTGCCGGTTGCACTCGAGGCCAAGCCACAAAAAGCAGTTCAGGGATCCTCTGTCTCCTTGTGCTGTGCCGTGGTCCGGGCTCTGCTGGGCCTTGGTCCCCAAGCCTGTGTAGTGGTGTTGCAAGGAAGGGAGGTGACAGGACATCCCACCTGCCACAGTAACCCCTCAGCTGTACCCCTGCTGTGGCCTGTGCCGCTCCCATGGCAGAGGGTTGCCCCGCTGGGGGTTGCAGAGAGTGGCCCCAGCCCCTTCATCAGCCCCTCTCCTCTTGCTGTGTGCTGGCTCTGTGTACCCATGTCTTCATCCTCATCCCTGTGCTGGTCCTGGTCCCTGTCTGCCCCCTGCACCCATGTCACCCCTCATTCCCATCCCCTCGCCGTGCCCGTGGGTGCCCCCTCACCGGCCCCAGCCCCAGCCCAGTGCTGGGTTTGGTTAATTTCCTGGCGACTGCATTAGCGGGAATGGAAGCCGAGGGACGGCAGCTCCTCTGGGGCCCATTAATCATCCCCCTCAGACAAGCTGCCTTGATTACAAGTGGCAAGAAATTCATTAGGGCTGCGGCTCTGACAACTTTTATCTGCGCGGCTGGATCTGACTCATTAGGCAGCCAAATTAAAGCCATGATGGGCCCTGATGAAATTCACTGCTTGTTTATCTTGTGCGATCTGATACATCTGCCCATACATCATCTCCTGCGCGGGATCCCGCCCGGCCCAGCCCTGGCGCCTCCCTTCCCATCCCAGCCCTGCCCCGAATTCTGGGTGCCCAGCCTGGACCCAGCTCTGCCCCTTGCCTGCCCCTCTGCCCTACCTGTGGCATCGGGGATGGGGTCGGGGTTGGGAGCAGTGGCTGTGCTTCCTGAAGCTGTGTGAGGACAGCCCTGCAATCACAGAATCATCCAACACCCTGAGTTGGAAAGGACCCACAAGGTTCACTGAAGTCCAAGGCTTGGGGCCAGCATCCTTTCATGGCCCACACAGTGCCCATGCAGGGTGCAGCCTCCTCAGGGTATCCCCAGCCCTGGCCCGATCCTGCCAGCAGTGGCACTGCTGGCACACAGTCCCATGGGGACACACTCCATGCCCTGCTGCTGCTCACATCTTGCAAACAGGTGCTGGGGATTCCAGAGGTGCCCCTCCACTGCCACCAGTTTCTCACGGGTTCTGATGTGGTCCTGAGGAGCCAAAAGAGAAGTCTACACCTGGCAGTGAGGTCAGACACCACCAGCAGCAGCATTTGGGCCCTGCCTTGCCCCAGCCCAGGGTTACCCCAGTATTGGAGCACATCTGGGTACCAAGGTGGCCAATGTGGCTTCTTACAGCCCCAGATCAGGACAGGTTGAGAGAGGAGCTGCATGTCCCTGTTCAGGGGCAGAAGTGCATGTCCATGTTTAGAGACAGGAGCTGTGTCCATTTTTAGGGGCAGGAGCTGTTTGTCCCTGTTTAGGGACAGGATCTGTGTGTCAGTGTTCACGGGCAGGAGTCGTGTCCACGTTCAGGGGCAAGAGTTGTGTATCCATGCTCAGGAGCAGGACTCATGTCTGTGTTCAAGCTGATGCCAGGGAGGGCACAGGCCCTGCTCTACACCACAGGACTGTGCCAGGGCAGCAGCACAGCAGGACTGTCCCTGCGTGACGCAACCCCAAGCAGCAGGGTGACCACAGCAGCTGTATGGCAGCACTCTGAGGACCCTGCCACAGGCAGCCAGCAGCACTCACACCGTGGAGCCAAGGCAGTGGCTGCAGCAGGGGCCATGTGAGTGCCACAGGGCAGAGCCAGGGATGCAGACTAGTGCCATGAGCACATCCACAGTGTGTAGCCTCAGGCTGGAAACCAGCTGTGCCCCAGCACTTCTCAGAGAGCCTGCAGAGCCAGGATAAGCTCTGTGGGGCACAATTCACAAACAAAGTCCCACGGGCCCTCTCCCAGCCCCAGCTGAGGTGGCACAACTTCCTGGGGGTCTGTAAGTTGGCAGCAGCAGAGCATGGGACAGCACTGCCCAACCCTGAGGCAGCTGGGACCACACAGAGGTGCTTTCACAAAAGATGGCCAGAGCAGAGATCCTGCCACTGGACTGCACCTTTGTGTGTCCAGTCAGCCCTGCCTCTGGGACAGGGTGTGACACAGGTGTGGCACAGTGTCCCAGCTCCCTTGGCCTGTTCTCACCAAAGTCTGGCACCAGCACACTCCACTGCAACACCTGCACCCCGTGCCCATTCACGGGTATCTGCCTTGCCAGTGGGTGCAGACAGGCACAACACTGGGCCTCACAAATCCCTGTGGGGGGATCTATCCAGCCTGGCAGGCGAGGACACTGCACGAGCTGGCATGCTGTGCCAGGTCCAGCATAGGTGGCAAGTGGGACCCCTCACCGTGGGAAGGGTTTTACAGCCCTGGTGAGCTGGGGGTCATCAGCTCTGCAGCCTCATGAAGAACTTCACAGCATCCAGTGAGCAGCAGCCCAGCAGAGTGTGGTGACAGTCTCTCTCTCTCTCCCCTCCCCATCCCCAGTTCCAATATGCCCTTGGTAAGTTCTTTCAGATCTTGGTCATTTTCCCTTGGTACTGAAGCTGCACCTACCAAGAGTCTGCACTGTGCTGCTGAGGCCATCCTGACCAGACCTGCTACTGAATCTCCTCTGCAACTGCATCCAGAACTCTGTGAGCCGCTCTAGACCAGTCTGCAAAGGAATTGGGGGTGGTCAGGGGGAACTTGTGACCCTTCCCAGGTGCCAGCCAGCAAGAGATTATTTCTCTCCTGCCCACGTGCGGCTACTAGGGAGCTGCTCTGTGAGTCATCATCAGATCAGTCAACACCTGTGCTAGTCCTGGAGCTCCTGTCTGATGTAGAGCACCAGCACCAGGTCGTGGGCCATCACATCTTCATACAAGTCCCTTGTCAGCGAATGTTGCACTTAATGAATAAACACACAAAGCTTTGTTGCACTTAATGAATAAACACCCTGTGGGATGCTGTCTCTGCTCCATTCCCAGTTCAAGAACTACTGTCCATGTAAATGGCTGGGCAGGTCTGGGTAGGGAGAATTCCCTTGTAGGCACTGAAACTGCCTTTCTGAGGGCAAAATAAGTCTTGTTTGTATGAATGTGTGTAGAAACACATATTGAAGTAAATACATGTCCATGGATATACACACCTCTACGTGTCTGCATCTGTATCTACCTTTTGGGTGGGTGGCCGGGTGTGTACACATGCACATACATGTTCACCAGTGTGTGTGTTTGGGTACCCACATGACAGTTCCTATCAGAACCCCATCAGTTCCTATCCCAGGACTTAGGAAACAGGAAGAAGCTGGTAGATGTGAAATTCCAAATAGATACAGGGGTAAAACCATACTAGGATGGTGGTTGGACGCTGGTATAGGGGACCAAAGGGAAGGGATTGCCCATCCCTGAAGATACTGGAAGTCAGATGGACAAGTTCCTCTAATGAGGACCAGCTTTGAGCAGGTGTTGGAGCAGAGAACTCCCCAAGTCCCACCCAGCTGTGCACCTCAGTCACCCAGGGTCTCTCTTTACTGTCCAGTTTTATATCGTGGCCCTCTTCCTCCCACCCACCCCAGTGTGACACGACACGCTGAGCTCCAGCTCACGGGGGCCCTGCAGCTCTCCCATCTGGGGAGGGGCTGCAGCTGCTCAGTGCAGGGAGTGCAGCACAATCAGGGGGTGTGCAGTGCCATGCACGTGCACTGCAGGCAGGGCCATGCCCGTGCTCGCTGTGCAGGG